GCTAAATGTGAAGAAGGTGAAAGTCGCTGATCAGACCCTGTTTCGAGTCTTCTGGCAGAGGGAGAAGGACAGCAGCACGGCGATAGCCGCCAAAATTGGACAAGAACATTACAAAAGTACCAGTCGCTAGCCGTCTGAATGGAGGAGGCAGATAGAGCGATGCAATCATTGGAAGTCAGATAAAATTCTATAGTTATCATATCCACAATGAGAGCATCTCTTCATCCGTATGAGAAGAGCAGGATCTATTTGAGGAGTTTGCCAGTTAATGGTTGTATGCAGTTTGGCTCCTGTCATAGAAAAGCCATTGTTCTTGAAATTTAGACCTCACCTGCACCTGAGGAAGCTACGCTTCTGCTGTGTCGACCGTACGATCCGCGGTCAATCCTGCACTGGTATTCTGGCAGAACCTAACTTGGCTGACATCACTGAATGGAAGAATGGCAGAAAAGGTGCAGTACTCTTATCGGAGTAGCAGCAGGCCAAAGCATTGACATTGTTATGGTAAATGTGTCAAATTCAGAGCGAAGGTATCAGTATTTCTTGAGTATGAAATGAAAGACACCCTGTGCAAAGTGCCAACGACAGATTTCATCAGTCATTAGACTGATTTCAGTGACCATATCAGTGCCGATCAGAAAGAACAGACCTAACGACCTCAACAGTAATGGCATGAAGTTGTCATCACGTCGGAAGTGTGCATCAATTCACGTGGTAGAGGGAAATTTGTGTACAGAACTGGATGATCGATTTGGCAATCGTATCGTTGACTTAAGACATTATGTAAATGGATACTCGAGTTAAGAGGTGCAGAACTGTTAATCGATTATCATCTTGCAAACGAGGGAGCACCATCCGAAGACCTGGCGGCAGAATCAACCAGAAAATGAAATGAGGAATATTATCATCTGCGGATACGACGGCAAAACTTGTAGACAACACTCTACTCTACAACATTCCAGTAATGACGACTGACGTGGAAACCTATGGGAAGCTCTTTAGATGCATAATACTCTTGGCCACTACTTAATGCTGCGGTCTGAAACGGATTGAACGGCAAATCGCCAGCGGTCAGGAGCGAAATTTTATTTTTGGCGGACACCAGAGGGTCATTTGGCTGTCAGCGAGATGAACGTTGCATAAGAGGTAGTTTGAAAGAAAGCAGTCTTTAATTCAAATAGAGTATGAAGAACAGCGCAAGGCGACAGCGACAGCAGTACCCAAAGCAGAAGCCGATTGATAGGAAGAGTTCAGTGAGGTGACGGAGTCGAATTCTAAACGACAGACGGTCAGTCACCCCTCAAATGAGATCTAGGAGTTCTGATGGCAAATCTGATCACCTTCTTACCAAGGAAAAGGACGTATCTCTGAGAGATGGAGTACTTCGAGGAACTCGTCAACTCTGAGTAACCTGAAGACTCGACTGAAGAGTAGCGGACGACTGATATTAGCCTTTCGGTAAATGAAGTGACAAAGGCTTAAGAACACTTGAAAGTTGGCAAGGCTGACGGAATCGATGAAAGCTGCCCTGAGATGGTTAAGGCGTTTGGAGAACAAACCATGTTGTGGCTACCAGGTGGCTCTCAAACTGCAGTGACTATGCGGTAGACGCCAGTAAACTTGAGAGCTGGGCTTAGTAACCCTAAAAAGTAGTAAAAAGAAAAACCACATGGAGTGTTCCAACCATCGGAGCATTACCTTATTGAGCCTTCCAGGAAAAAGTCTGCACAAAAATGTCGCGTCGCGCGCAGAGTATCTACGAAATAGCTCTCAGGCACATGAAAGACAGCGTGGCTTCAGGTCATACTTGAAACACCTCTGCTCAGATCTTCGCCTTAGATAAGATTGTTAAGAAATTGTGAGAATTTGCTCATGAGGATTAGATGTGCTTTGGTAACTTGGAAAAGCGTATGATCATTTTCCATGTAAAAAACTGTGGGTGTGTCTGCAAGCGGGATTGACGGCCAGTCACTATGAATTGATAGCAAATGCTGTGTCAGAGTAAATGGCGTTAAGTCGAGACCTTTCATTCTTGACATTGGTCAGCGCCAAGGCTACTAAATGGAACAGGAGAATCAGGCGTAGCCATGGCGATGTGTGTGCCAACATAGGAGGTGTGCAGATGAGACGCTTTCCGTTTGCAGAACACCTTGCTTTGTCGGCATCGTCTAAAAGTGATCTCCAGTACTCTCTGGTAAAACTCGCAGATGAGTGCGATCTGGCCGGCATGCGTGTTACCGTGCGTAAAACAGACGTAGTGCTTTCTCGCTCTCCTGTTCGTCCTGGTCCACTGATATTTCAATGGAGAAATTCACGTACATAGAAGTTGTGCTTACTGATGATGGGAAATGAGAAGAAAGGAGGGAATGGCGAATTCGAATGGCCGGCCAACCGGGTTGTGAGTGAATTGGACTGAACCGTTATGATTAAGGCAGAGCTGAGTCTGAGGACTAAGAGGCACTCTTTCAAGCTGATCTTCTTCCTCATGCTCAACTGTGGCCATGAGTCATGAGTGAAAAACTTGGATCCTTGGTACAAACGGCTGAAATGAGTCTTTTGAGATGAATCACTGGACTTGACATGGTCTGCAAGTCAGGTGTCCGACGCAACCTTGGTATACGGTTGTTGCTTCTTCAGATTGAGAAGTCATAGCCGCGATGGTTTAAGCGCATCTTGCGAATGCTTCCAGAAAGAAAAACGCAACATCCACTACTGCTGGATCAAAAATGGCCTGGTGCAAGTGTCTCGACAGAATCTGCTCCTGGTTCAGTATATCTTCAACCTAAGCTCAAATGCTGGTAGAGGATCAGAAATTTTGGAGTCATCGTGAGATGCGTCTGCCTCCGCTCTCCGGAAGGACAGGGGGTCATCGAAACTTTGTGATTGACTGACCAGACGACTCACATCTTTCAAACGCAATCCTTTGAAAGACATTTTTCAGGTAGACCTGTTCTGACAGGTCAGGTATGTTGGTTCCATTCTATCCCCCCCCCCGCCCCTCCTCACCCTCCCCCATCGAGGTCAT